ACTCGTTGTTCGGCCTATGTATCCTGTTCCACAGGATTGTAATTAGACTACACTATTTAACCCTGCCCAACTGTACAGTTTTAATTACCCTGCATATTTTCTGGCCTGATAATGATTTGCTGAAAAAATACTTTTGCTAACTTGACTTCTCAACTTAAGAATGGGAATATTTGCAGAAATTAAGAATTGGCGTCATTTCGCTGCACTGCTGCCGTGTGTTCAGCAATTCGCGTCTGGAGACGTCTTCCAGTTTCTCCGACATAGTTGCTTTTCCCGAAACCACACCAGATCCTACGGTGACTCCAGATGTATCCTGTAAATGCCGCATCTCCCTATGTATAAATTACCCGTTCCTGCTCTTGTCCCTGGTGAAGGATCTGCCACGCATTTCAAAAGTTCAGGCGAATAAAATTACTGTCCCAGTGATTACATATTATTCTTCTCACAATTCTTGAAGAAACTTAAAGGGTAAGTCTCCTACCAAGTGATATTATGGTTTCCTTCGATGTCACTTCCCTTTTTACTTCTATCCCTCAGGATCTGGCAGTCGAGACCATCGACCTACTCCTACAAAGCAAATACGGTGAGACGGAGAATCGCCTTGAACATGCCCAAATCCTACAGCTACTACAGTTCTGTCTGAGGCCGTACTTCACGTTTGACGGAACAATCATCGAGCAGGTGAAGGTGAAAGAATCCACTCGGATTCTTTCAGTATCCTCGTTACGGTCTCCAGGGGGAGTACTTGTAGTGGGCCGTTGTCGGTCTGTCTGGCTTTCCGGTCGTGGCCTCAATCTGTCTGGAGCTCAAGGTCGTTGTGGTCGCCAAACTTCCTAGTGCGAGACACAAGCCACCCACGTTGTCCAACAACGGTGTCCAACCACACGCTATCCACCCACACACTGTCCTCCCGCACGGTGTCCAACCAATCACAGGCCAACTTAGCCAGTGAACGCACTCTCTCTCTGTCTCCTGGCCTGACTACTCTCAAACAGTCAATTGGGACCCGGTCAACCTACTGAGCGGACGTGTCCTCCCAAATCCGACTTCTTTCATCTACTCTTCGTTCCTTTGCGTACACAATAAACTCTTCCTACTACTCTGGCCTTTAATGACTTTTCTTCTGCACTAAGTAACCATGTTCTGAAGATTGCAGTTGCTGGGTTTGACTCACTTAACCCCCTGCAATAGGTTCATCCATTTCAGGACTCATAGCTGAGGCAGTCCTACAACGGCTGGAGTCGCTGGTTTTCCAACACCACAGACCAAAATTCTGGGCGTGGTATGTGGATGACATCTTCGTCGTCATCGAACGGGATCAGTTGCTCACGTTCAAGGAGCGTCTCAACAGCGTCTTCCCGGACATCCAATTCACGATGGAGGAGGAGAACAACGAACTGGCCTTCCTTGATTTTCTCGTCTGTCGCAAAGATTGTGGTGGCCTAAAAACTAAAGTATTCAGGAAAGCGACAAACACGATGCAAGTACTGAATTACAACAGCAACCATACAATCAGTCACAAACGCAGTTGCGTAAGGACACTCTCTCGGCGTGTTGAGACACACTGCATAGAACCAGAAGATAAAGTTGCCGAGGTACAATACCTTCAATGGGTGTTTAGAGAAAATGGCTACCCGCGCAACTTTTTCAACCGGTGCTTGCGCAAACGAGATCGCCAACAAAGTCACACGGACCCCAGAATTTGGCGAGCGATCCCGTACGTCAAAAACGTCTCGGAGGCTGT